CATGGTGGTGCTGGCGGGTCTCCCGACAACCTCCGGGAATATGGCGGCGGCGGCGGCGGCGGGACTCCGGCACCAGCAGCGTCGGTAAAGGATGTGCAAGGCCGTGCCAGGATTCAGCACATGCCCAAGACCGTGGGCGACGTTGTCCTTGCCGTTGCCGGCGGCGGCGTCGACGAGAGCCCGGACATGGCCGTGACAGGCGCCGTCGCGGGGAATCCCGCCGTCGCCGAGCGAGGCGCTTCCGGGAAGGAGGCCAGGCACAGCGGTGACAAGAAGGGAGCTGACGGGGTGCGAAGAGAGTCAGAAGGAGCGGAGGGTGGGGGGACAGGCGAAGCCGGTGCTGGAGATGAGACGGACGGGGAGGAGGACAGAAAGCGTAAGAGGCAACAGAGGGCGCTGCAGGCGTTCCTCAAGGGGGTGAGTGGACGCGTGAGTCTTTGGCAAGTGTGATAGGTATTCCCTGGCCGGTGCTTTGTGAAAAACGTACCCCACAGGCTATGCGAAGAGAGTTCTGAGGGCCGCAAACATGGGTCGATGAGCCCAACGGGGAGCGGGAGAGGCATTCTGGCATGCTTTCCCCTGACGATATCAACGCCCAGTGCTGCCCAAAAGTCAGTCATGATGCTGTACATTGCCCGAGAGGGCTACCAACATCCGACTTCGTACCTACCCTTGTCTGCTTGAATAAGCCGTATGCACAGGACTCTGCACGAACGCCTCCTCACCCTTTCACGCCACTTCACCAAAGAACGCCCGGCGTGTCGTGCACCTTTTTCGTTAATCCACCCCACAATTTCGTTGTGTCTGCCCGTCGAGATAGATGCCACGGTCAATGGAAAATACGCCACTTTCAGTTAACGAACGCCTGGAACAATTTTTGGAAGCCAGCACAACAATACTTTGGCGTTGATGCACACGTTTCTTTCGTTTCCCTCGAAGGCGGATGACACCCAAGCCAACCTCGCGTTTGTGGCGTTGAGGCAAGAGCCGTACATCGTTGAGGAGTTCGGCTACCTCGCCAAGCAGATACGAGACCTCCATGAGGTGAGAACGGTTCGAATTGTGTGGCTTGTGGGGATCAAGTTGGGATTCGCCTACTGCAGGGAGTGCGCTGAGTTGGGCGTGCGCCAATTCGGTTAAGTAGAAGCGCAGCGGAGCATGTGTCCGATGGTCGTCGTGGAGGGGATTCAACGGGAGCCAAGACATTGTGAGGCGATGTGTGACGTACTATACGAGACAAGTGTTCGTGGTGTCCATCGCCGAGATGTGGCCCCTCGCCGCAGCACATAACAGCAAGATGCTACCGAATATAGTCTACGCACCAAGGCAGAAGACATATCGATGCCACCGCCCGGGGTCGTGTACGTCGTCACTGTTATCGGAGCAAAACAACGTTTTTCTCGAAGCAGAACAGTGCTCTAGGCGCTTTGCAGTCATGTCATCAATGAGGAAACGATGTATATCTGTGCTTGAGGGGAAAAAAAACGTGGTCGAGCAAGGGGACAGGACGAGGAAGAATTTCCACACGAAACTAAAAGCGAACACCGAGCGCTCGCACTCAGAGCCGGCCGTGTCTCTTTCAGGGGTAACGTTGCCCCTTCCTTGGTGCATACAGCAGTATCCTTCGATCACATGACACCAAACTACGTCAACCCGAACGGGCACGAAGGGTTCTGTATCCCCGCAACGATCGTTCACCACCAATACCATGGACTCTGCTCCAAACTCGAGGGCTCGCTGCGTAACACCCGTATCCATCCGTCGGCGTTGGCAATTCGCAGGCTACGAATGGTGCCGTTCCCCGGCATATATCCCACGCGGAGCTTCGTGACCGGTTCCGGGAGCTAAGCGCCCGAAGCGCTCCGCTCTTGAGGCGGGTCCGGGTAAAGAAGAGTGGATATGCTCGTGTGTAGTCCGGGCATGAGTCTGAAGTGAAGCAATGGGTACCACCGGTCGTCAAGTTCACCCTGTTGTCGCGTCTACGCCCCTCTTGTAAGCAGAGTGTTTCCCGT